ATATAGCATACTTCACAACTGCAGAAGTATTGAGTGGAGAGCAAGAAAAAAACACCGGAGAAACCCAATGTCTGTGGAATATGGCAGAATATTAATAGGTAAAGGAGATAAAAGTAGTTTTATCTAATTTTATAGTCTCCATCTAGAAGTCTTTAGCCTCCCCAGCACTGGGACTACAGGTGTGCACCACCATGTCTGATTTCTGCCAGAGCCGGCATGACATGTGGTACTGGGGATTGAACCCGGGACCTTGTACTTGCCAGGCAGCACGGTACTTAGACTGCTGAGCTATTTCCCCAGCCCTAGAAGTCTTTAAATGGCGTAACCAGAAAGCAGGATATACTGGCAGAGAACCTAGCTATCAAATGAGTTAGCCCTGGAATCTAAACTGTACAAAGCCCCAAAGTCCACCACTGTCATCTCTGCTTGGTCATCACAACCTTGGTCTCCATGGAAACACCATTCTGATTAACATTACCTGGTAGTCTACCAGCAGCAAGGGCATCCCCTGGTAAATGACCATTCACACCATTTGTGGAAGGATTGTTCATCTGACCCAACAATCCACTTCTCATCTCTAAATCAGTTGGGTATGGTCTTCGTGGGTCTCCTAAACCATAAAGACTGCTTTTAAGTCACTTGTATTTAATAAAAACAAAAAATAACAGTGTATTTTGAAGTACTAGTTTTCCTTGGTGCATACTGAAAACTCAAACTGCATTTTAAATTTTGGAATATGAAGCTTACCTTATCGATTGTTATTAAGAGTATAATGTATTAATTTTAAAAAATATATGTACTTTTATTCTCAATTTTCCCAAGAATATACTATTCTCTATGTGAAAAAGATAAGATAACCATTTATAAACATTTCAAATGACAATTTAAGAAAATTATAATGATTTCAATTCTTCTAACAATTCCATTTTTCAGAAAGAAAGATAACAATGATCAGGACACATAAGATAGAAAGGAATGGAATGTGAATTGGAATTGGAATGCGAATGTGTAAATTAATCCTTCCTCTAACCAAACTTGATTTTTTTATATTAACTTTATTGAGAAAGACAGCAATGAGACAGTTTCAAAATAGGTTAGTAAGGCAGTTACAATAATTAACACATTGCATATTGTTGTCTTCATAGTAGTTATTCATAGGACAAGATGCAGATATGGTATCTTGTCTAAACACTATTAGTATAAACACTATTGTCTAAACACCATTAGTTCAAATCTTCTCATTGAACTAAGAGAAAGTAGCTGTATATCTATCCTATTTTGTATATACAGATATATTTTTTTATTAAACTTTTTGATCTTGTTAAAAGATTAATTCCTGTAACTTTCTAGTGGCTATCAGGAGTAAGTGTTCTCATTCCAATCATGAAAACATACTAAACAGCAGTTTGGGGCTGATAAAAACATGGCCAGGTTTGAACCACCGTTATATTAATGTTTCTCACCAACTCCAGATTACTCACCTCCAAAATTATAGCTCCCCTTAGAACTTTTTTTTTTTTTTTTTTTTTTTTTTTTTGGTGGAACCGGGGATTGAACTCAGGCCCTTGCGCTTGCCAGGGAAGCACTTACTCCACTGAGCCATCTCCCCAGCCCTCCTTAGAATTTTTAATGATGGTGAATACCACCTTCTGGAGTGAAGGAGTTAATTCTCTCATTCCTCCTAAGAGGCTACTGCTCCTCTTTAGGTTTTCTGTCTTTTATTTTCTTCTCTGTGCATAGAGGTGGTAGACTGTTTCTCTTTGCTATTCAGAATTCTTCTAGCTCTTCGTAGGCCAGTGTGTTTGCCATTGGGTGCCAAGTACTTTGTCTACATTTAGCACCTAAGAGTGCTGGGACTGTGTGTGTCTCAGGTTCCATCATTTGTTGAAAACCTAATGGCTCTATGACTTGGCTTCTGGCCAACTGGGGTTTTACAGACACATAAATCCACTGTTATAGATATCACATATTAACTTAAACCTTTTAAAACTGATAACTTACAATTTTTTAAAAAGGAAAGAAACAGTTCCTAATGCCACTGACTTTACAGAAAACCAAAGGTACAAAAACTATGGCAGATATCATCACTTGTAAGACATTAAAGATTTGAAAATATCTTTATTGACAGATATTTCTAAAATATATATTCTGTATTTGAATCTAGTTTAGTACTGATAAACCTAAGAATTTTCAAAACTACATATAAAAGAATAAAAGGTATTATTACCTGGAACCCAGGTCAGTGGGGCACAAACAGCATTACTTGCACTAATTCTATGAGCATACTTAATTATTTCTTCAGAGGAGATAGCACCTTTTCTTGCTTTTTCTATGGCACAAACAGCATTACTTGCACTAATTCTATGAGCATACTTAATTATTTCTTCAGAGGAGATAGCACCTGAGAGAGTTAAGGGAATAATAATAAAAGTTTAGTCTTACGAACATACAAGTTTAGAAGGGCATGTATCATAGTTACACAGTATACTTAATTTTATTTTATTTTCCTTTGAAACAGACTCTATGTAACTGAGGCTGGCCTTGAATTAGAGATTCTCTTGCCTCAGTCTCTATAAAGTGCTGGGATTATAGAACTGCACCATTACACCCAGCAAATTTTAAATTATCTGAAAATAGGGTAATCTCAACCATTTAACTTCCCAACAATACCTCCATGTACACTGTAAAACTAAACTGTACATATTTCCAAAATAAAGATGACCCTCATCTAGCAAACTCAGTTAAAACAGAGACCCATTTAGGAGACTAATATACTTCTCAATAATTTCAATTAATGACTACTACAAGACACCATTACTCTTCAGGAGGCAATAATAAGTACAAATAAAGAAAATAGTGTTTCATTTCCTAATGACATCCAAGTTATAAAATCAGCAAAAAGTTTATACTATTCTGTTTGATTAACATGGCTTAGGGTCTAACTAGACCTCAAGAAAAATTAGGTAAAAAAGTGTTGAATATGTATAATGTGGCTTCATTTTTTGCTTTAAAATAAATGTATTTTTATTTGGGGGAACTTCTATTATATACACGTTCATAAATTTAGAAAAAAAATCTGGAAGGACATACATCAAATATCAGTAGTAGTTACTTCCAAAAAGTGACAACAAACTTCTTTTATAACTCGTTTTTTTAAAGATTTATCTCAATGTAACAAAATACTGTATAAAAGGGTATAAAATATTGAGGACTGAGGGCCAGCAAGATAGCTCAGCAGACTAAGCACCTGCTGAGACAAGCACAGGGACCAGGGTGTGATCCCTGGTACCACACGCCACACGAGTCCCGCCCTTGGGTGCACTGAGCTGGCCAGAGACTGGGCATGGTGGCAAATACCTGTAATCCCAGCGCTGGGGAGGCTGAAAACAGGAGGATCACTACAAGTCCAAACTTAGTAATGAGATCCTGTACCAAATACATTTAAAAAAAAAATTGAGAACTAAAAACATGCTTTAAGGCTAGCTCTGATAGCTAAGCGGACTAAAGCGTCTGCTTAGGCAGAGCGCAGCAGCCAAGGTTCGATCCCAGCATCTCAGAACCTGTTTACTGCTACAGAAGCCTACTTTATTTCTTAGATGGACATTACCTATTTTTCACAAGTAACCATCAAAAAATAAGTTCCCAAAGAAACAGGAAAAAGGAAAGAAAATTAAAGAATTTGAGATAATTAAATGTAATTCAAATCAACAAGTCACTGAAGGCAGGTAACCAAAGTTTATGAAAAGACTCAATAAGACTGTAATAGCCTTTTTAAAAGGGCTCACTTGGACCAAAGGCACACTTGGCCTATCCAGCACTCACTGTGCTCAACATCCCAAAGGAATTTCTAGTACCAACTTCACGAAGTTCTTGTCTCAGGTTAGCTGTCCAATGAACATTCTCTTTCATTCTCTCTATCCTAACCTTCAAGGGCCAATTCAAATCACCTCTCATTTTCCTTCTCCCAACAACTGCTATAAACCATTCTCTTTATTGTATTATCAAGTACAAACATGCACACACACAACTGGCTTCTATTATTCCTTCTTATAACCTGAAAAAGAATGTGATACTTCTACCTCCCTAAGGATGCCTACTACAATACTGGAACACAATGAAATACATTCACAATGAAAATTTACTGCAACCTTTTCAATAGCAGGAAATGATTACCAGTGATGTTATCAGCTTCTTGAAACAAGAACTTAGGTGTTTCAGAAGGCCATTCAGCTTTTCTATGGTACTAACCTTTTCTTGCTTTTTCTATTGACTTGAGTTTCTCTTTTGCTTGATAAACAGCAGTTGCCTAATTTAAATATTAAAAATACATAATTTATTTTTAACTATATCAAGCATAGCTCTTGGCTTAATTAACAAGACATTTATCCACAAGAACAATTCACAAAACTTGGAAATCTCCCAATTTATCTCTAATTGTCTGAAATACCACCTGATATCAAATTACATGTTATATTTAATGAAATATCATATTGATGAGCCAGATTTCCACTCACAAATCATAAATTCATCTGCTATTTTTTAATGTCATAATAAGCAGAAGAGATCCAGACCATTTAGCACTTAAAAATATCCTATTCTTGTATCTAATTCAGGGATAAAGTACCCAAAATAATGTTTTTTAGTTAAAAAAAAAAAAAACAAACAACTTTTTGAGTAGTTATAAAGTCAGATCTAGGTTTAATTTCTATCTCTATATTTTAGCCTCCACACGAAATTTAACTATCCATTTATTTATTTATTTATTTATTTATTTATTTTATTTGTGTGTGTGTGTGTCTGTGTGTGTGTGTGTGGCCAGCTCAACCAACCAGAGGGCGAGGCTGGCTGGCATGTGGTGCTGGGGGATTGAACCGTGGTCCCTGTGGTTTGCTAAGCTTGTTCTAAGTAGGTACTTTAGACCACTGAGCCATCTCACCAGCCCTAACTATCCATTTAAAGTCTTGGCTTCTTCATATGAATAATGGTGGTGACTTCGTAAGAACTGTGATGAAGACTGAGATAATGTACATTAAGCTGCTAATAAAAAATTTGTTTTCCCTAATCATCCTGTGTTTATTCTTTGCAGCTTAAAAAAATTTTGGGGGGGGCCAGGAAGATGGCTCAGTAGAATAAGCGCTTCACTGGCAAGCGCAAGGGCCTGAGTTCAATCCCCAGTTCTGCCAAAAAAAAAAAAAAAAAAAGTCTATTTGTATTCTTCTAGACTACAGTAAGGTTTAAAAAAAAAAAAAAAGTACTCTCCCAAGTCTCAAGTCTCAAAAAACAAAAGACCAAATGCAACACTAGTATTGTATGAGCAATAGAACTAAAGGCAATTTTTCTTCCTCCTATTATATTTTCTGAATTTCTTTTTGGTAAACAAATACTACTTCTATAAGGGAAGATGCATTTTAATATAAACATTTTTAAAAAGCATTTACTTGGAAGGCTGGCCAAATAGCTCAGTGGATTAAAGCGCCTGCAAGCAGGCACAGGGTATGGTAGGGCATGCCTGTAATCCCAGCTCTTGGGAGGCTGTAAACAGGCAGATCACTAAGAGTCCAACCTAGTAGTGAGAACCTGAACACCCATGTAAACCTCTCCCAAAAAAAAAAAAAAAAAAAAAAAAAAAAAAAAAAAAGCATTTACTTGGGATTATTTCCTCAGTAGCATTTACTAAATTACCTTGAACCATTTGCTTTCTATTCACTAGAGCCCATTTTGGCACATTTTGAAGAGGTCCACTAGAGTTAAGATGCCAGAAATATTTGGCTTATAAGAAAATCAAACTCAGCTGTTTCTGTATAAAGATCATCTGGCAGTTAGTATCAGTAAAATAACTAGGCCAATAATCACTAATAAATTGCCCCTGAAGGGCCAGCAGATAGCTCAGTAGATTAAAGTACCTGCTTAGGCAGACACAGGGACCAGGTTCAATCCCTGGCTTGCCATGCCAGCCCCACCCCCAGGATGTGCTGAGACAGCAATTGAGACTGGGCATGGTGGCGCTCACCTACAACCCCAGCACTTGGGAGGCTGAAAACAGGAGGATCACTATGAGTCTGATCTGTGTAGTGAGACCCTACTAAGTACACTAAAAAAAAAAAAAAAAAACTGCCCCTGACATGGTAACCATGAATATACAAAAAACTAGGTTCCCTAACACACATGTTAATCCCACTGGGCTTAGGACAAAGACCAAATAAATTAATGTAAATTTTAATCAATTTGTGAAACTAGTACATATTTTTATGGTTTAAAATATTTTTAAAACTAAAGATTTAGACCACTAATAATTAAAACTTCTACTATTCTAGGATAAATGCAAAACTTCCCACTTCTACAATGCAATATTGCGAAATCTTTAAATGTGAAAATGTAGTTTAAAATACAGACTATCTGAAAATAGAATACCAGAAAGCAATGGCTTTTCCTCTAACTACTCAAAATATTCCAAGAGATGGAAAAGGAGGGGAGGAAGGGAAAGAGAAGTAGTAAAAAGAATGAAGGTAAATTATGTTCATGCAGTGTTTTCTCCATGATCGATGGAATCATTATGTAAGGCATAATCAAAATTAAAATTTAAAAACTCTTGACAATGTCATTTTTAGACATGAAAGTAAGCTTCTGTGTCCTTCAAATTAGTAACAATCGGTCTATTTTTCAGAAACAGTTTAAATACTGTCCTTCTTTCCCATAGGAACCAATCATACTTACCAGTATTTGTTCTGCTTCCTTTAGCTGTTTCTGTAGTTGCTGAATATCACTATCTCTCTTCTCTACTTCTTTTTCTAAAACTTGCATTTCATGATGGATTTTTCCCTGATTAAGTGCCAATTTCATTAGTTCCTGAAATTCCCCATCTCGGTGAATTAACAACTCAAGGACCTGTCAGAAAATAGTTGACTACATCAAAAAACAGAATATTGAAAGACCACATTCCATAAGTGAAAGAATTTATACACAAATTGTCAAGGCTATAAAATTTTAACACATCCAAAACATTGTTCCTAATCTTTGTTAATAAAGCTGGCAGGCATGGTGGTACACTTGGTACACTTCTATAACCTTAGAACTGACTAAGGTAGATTACAAATTCAAGAGTGGGCAACTTAACAAAATCCTAACAATTCTCTACTCAATTCATCAGATTTCTATACTTTTAAAATATGCCCTAAGAGGGGCCGAGGAGATGGTTCAGTGGAACAAGCACTTTCCTGGCAAGTGCAAGGGCCTAAGTTCAATCCCTGGTTCTGCAAAAAAATAAATAAAAATAAATAAATAAATAAATAAAATATGCCCTAAGAGAAAACTAACATAATGATGAGGTAGATGATGGGGGGTTGTCTATCACATTAGACATATTACTGTCTTCTACATTTTTTTTTATTTTTTAATCTTTTTTAAATATTTATTTATGTGTGTGTGTGTGTGTGTGTGTGTGTGTGTGTGGCCAGCTCAGCCCACCAGGGGGCGGGGCTGGCTGGCATGTGGTGCTGGGGGATTGAACCGTGGTCCCTGTGCTTTGCTAAGCTTGTTCTACCTAGGTGCTTTAGACCACTGAGCCATCTCACCAGCCCCACGTCTTCTTTATTAAAAAGGTTAACTTTCCCAGTTCATTTTCTCTTTTTCATTTCCCCACTATCTAGCTCAAGATGGCCTTAAACTCACTATAAAGCCCAAGCTGGCCTCAAATCACATTGATTCTCCAGCCACAGTCTCCTGCTGAGCTACACCCCCAGCCCTTTTTATTTTTTTAAATTTTTAATTAGGGGCTTGCTAAATTGCCCAGATGTGGCTCCAATTTGTGATCCTACCACAGCTTCCCAAAGCAGTGAGACTCCTGGCACAACCCAGCTGGATTTTTGTTGCTATTTTAATTTAAAAATGAACCACTTACCTGGTTTTCCTCCCCAGCCTGTGACAGCTTTTGGTTTCTTGAAATTGCCAGCATTTCTATAAGTTCCCTAAAAGAAAAATAAACGAATAAAAAAAACCTTTCCCACAATAAATATAATAAAAACTCCCTTAACTGCTCTCTACCTGGTCCACTCATGGTGTCTGCAACATGGAGCTGCTGTTCATGGCTAAGGCCCCAAGGCCACTCAGTTTTCACCAGCTACACGGCACTCTTATTGAGACTTGCTTGTGTTTACCAAGCTTTACTTAGTGCCATAGTTATATAAACACCCATTGCACAGATGGGTATAAAATTTGACTATGAAATATGACTATGAGCAGAAAGAGTTCTTTCTACACAAACATAAGCTGAATGTATGGACAGAAGTTAGCAAGGACAACTGTAAAAAACAAGAAAAAGTTTGAAAAACACAGGAAAAGTTGCCCTCAAACTGCTTGAAGATGAGATTAAGAGTTCATTTCATTTCAAAGAAATCCAGGTAGAAGATGTGAACATGGATCCTGAGTGATTTATATAAGGAAATCATCTACATCAGTTTGTGGGCCAAATCAAGCACACCTCCAGTTTGGAAATTAAGATGATGACTGCTTCCCCTCTATAAGGGTAGAAAAAGTTACGATTCTGGGTATATAGGTCTTGCTTTATCTTGGTCTTAACCATCCAGTAGAAAAGTATAAACATGAGGTATATAAAGTAAATCCATATTAATACGATGAGCTGTAAAAGGCTCAAGTCAATAACTTCTGAGGATAACCCACTAATATTATAGACTGCTAGACAGTATTAGATGTTTAGCTGAATTCAAACACTTATAGTATTTAGATGCCAATAGAATATTCATCTCTGACAGGACAAAAAATAAATAAATAAATAAATAAACAAACTCTATAAGGCTAGAACCAGGTAGTCACAGCAGAAACCACACAGCCTGACTAAAACAGAAATATTTACTATCTGATCCTTTACACAAAAGCTTCTTAATGAGATGATTAGTGAATAAATATATATGTGTCAAGATAAAACACATGAAGGATGCATGTCATTTTTAATGATTTACTCATTCTCTACTAGCTTAACATCTACCAGCTAACAAGGATTCTTATACATAATAAAATTTCATCTTCCTACTCAACAGATACGTCAATTTTCCTATATGAAAACTAGAATCAGATTAGGAAAATCTGATCCCAAAATAGGATCAGGAAAAAAAACATAGCAGCACAATTTATATAACACTTTCAAACTTGTTGCTAGATGGTATATCTCAAAAATTATCAAAGAAACGAATGCTTCATAATTACCTTATCTTGGTCTGGTTATACTCAATGTTTATACTTTCTTAAAGACTGCCAAGCCTTTTTTTTTATTATTATTTTTTGCCAAGCTATTTTCACTTTTGTATTTCTACCTCTTTCCTGCTAGCTTCGCATTATTTTTCTGGATGACTGAACCCTTGCCATACTAGTTTCCCATATCACTATGGATACATGAATAAATTAACTAATGTAAAAGTAGATATGGGGATGCAAGGTCTTCAGTCACTTACGAAATATTTATTGAGTGAGCTCTGATGCACCAGGCACTTTCCAGGTGTATTACAGAAATAGAAAGTGGTACTTAAATTCTAATACAGGACACAAAGTAACTATAAGAAATAAAACCAGAGTTATAAGGGTTGCAAAGGAAAAAAGCAAAGAATTGCACTAGAGACTGTTGGTAAAGTGGGTTGGCTACTTAAATTCAGTGGTTGGGGAATGCCTAAAGACACATTGGAGATGAAACATGAATGAAATGAGAAGCCAGCCATGAACTCTAGGAGAAACTGCTGGGTATTATGGTTTGTATCTAGCCATCTCCGCAAAGCCTCATACAGTTTTGGATGGGACTTTTTCAGAGGTGGCTGAATCTAGAATGTATGATTGATTCATGGTACAATGCTGGGATTAAGGGTAGGTGGCTGCTGGATCACTGCTCTGATTCAACTGGCACCACCACAATCCTGATAGACTGGATACAACATAAGGGATAGAAACAGGCTTGTCTCCCCTGACTTGTTGCTTTTGCTTTCTCCTGCCACTATAAAATGTTTCTACTCTGGGATGTCCCTCTTCCATGACACCCTGTCTTGGACCCAGCTAATTATGGACAGAAACCTCCACAAACTGCAAGCTAAATAAACCTTTCCCTCTTTAACTTTAGACATTGGGTATTTTGTCTCAGCAAGTAGAGAAAAGTAACTAAGACACTGGGCAAATGCCATAGGTACTAGTCCAGTGGCCCAAAGAGATCTGAGGAGTTATAGCACCAGGGAGATGGACACAGAGAAAGGCAAAGGTAGATAGGTAGGTCACTAGTAAGGCTTAGCAACATTAAAAGATTAGTGTTTCATTCTAAGTGCAATAAACCATCACTGGCTCATTTTAAACAAGAAAATCACAGGATTTACATTTTTAAACAATCACTGAGCTATTTGGTGAATTGATTTTTAAGAAGGCCAGAGCAGGTACCAAGTTAGGTGTTTGCTGTACTCCAGGAAAATGATGACAGTGGCTTTAACTAGGTTCTAGTCTCTAGGATTTACTAATAAAAATGGGAAAACATGAAGATTATGGATGCATTTTGAAAGTACAGCTGACTGAACTTGCTGATGAATTAAATCCATATTGCATCAAAAGAGTCTGTCACCTGAACCTTTTTTCTGGACCCTAGAGAGACATGGCCAAGAACCTCTGGTGTAAATAAAAGCTGGTTTCAGGGTAGTGACAGTGTGGGGGTAAACTAAGTCTTTTCAAAGAAAGCCTTACAAGGCTTGCTTTAGGCAAAGTAGGACAGGTGAGGGGAAAAGTCTGTAACAGTCTCTGGACAATGAAGATAGCTATCTTCTTGAACTGTAAAAAGAGGCTAAAAGAACCCCCAGGCCCATTCTCTGGTTACAGTTGTGGAAATAAAGTGCCCTACTCTGCCACACAAGGTGTATACTTGGCATTCCTAATCAGCAAAGAACTATAACTTATGTAGGCATTAGAACCCATTCTCAGTAGCACTACACTTCAAGTAAGTTATAGATGAAGAGAATTAACTGGCTGGTGTGGAAGCCTCAGGATGCCACCAACACAGTTTCTGCAGGACAATGAGCTATAAACAGACTTAGACATCAAAGTCTAAATGCCAGCACTTGGGAGGCTGATGCAAGAAAACTACAAGTTCAAGAAAAATTTGAGCTACTGAGGGATCTGGTCTCAAAAAAAAGCAGAGTCTACAAACTATGTCTCTATTATTTTTTAAATTGCCCCGAAGACTACCTCATTCTATTCCAACTTTACAAAGTAATAAAAATACTGACAGGCTGTCTTTATCATTAGGTAACAGTAACAATTTATCCTAAATTTCAAATCCATTATTTTCTGAATTCAAGGTTCAACATAAAGATATGTAAGGTACATTAGTAATCTTTTTTTTTTTTTTTTTTTTTTTTCCTAGTGCTAAGGCTTGAACCTTGGTCCTGCATAGCAGGCAGGCCAAGTGGTCTACCATTAATCTATGTCCCCAGCCTCATTTTTCTTTTCTTTTCTTTCCTTTCTTTTTTTTTTTTTTTAATGTACTTGGTACAGGGTCTCACTATGCAGCTTGGACTCATAGTGATTCTCCTGTTTTTAGCCTCCCCAGTGCTGGGATTACAGGCATGTACCACCATCTCATCTCAGTGCCCGGTGGCGTGGTCGGCATGACATGTGGTGTTGGGGATCCAAACCTGGTCCTTGCGCTTGCTTAAGCAGGTGCTTAGTCCACCCATTTTTCTTAAAACACAAGCCATACACAAACTTCATTCTGCTGCTGTGCCCCTGGGGCATGCTGAGACAGCAACTGAGACTGGGCGTGGTGGCGCAAGCATGTAATCCCAGCACTTGGGAGGCTGTAAACAGGAGGATCACTACAAGTCTGATCCACACAGTGAGACCCTGTCCACCCTGTCCTAAATTTAAAAAAAAAAAAAAAATCTTCATTCAGAAGACAATGACAAGGCTGGGGAAGATAGCCTGGTGGTCCAAGCACCTGCCTGGCAAGTGCAAGGACACAGGTTCAATCCCTGGTACTGTAGCTTGCTGTGCCGGCCCACAAGTCTCAGGCATACTGTGCCTGCCACTGAAACCAGGTATGGTGGTACACATCTGTAATCCCAGCACTGGGGAGGCTGAGACAAGAGGATCACTAGGAGTCCAAGCTGCGTAGCAAGACCCTATACCAAATAAAATAAAGATTAAAACAAAAAAACTTTAAAAAGAGATAATGACAAATGTCACAGATTATAGAATCAATACATGTAACTCTGCTTAATGAGCACATAATGAAAGCCAAACACAATGGAGCAGCTCTGTTCTGTACACATTCCAATGACCCTTACGTAGCAAACCATCTCCTACCTCTTCCACTACTACCACTGACATCTTCAGGATCATGAGAGGTAAATGTTCATCTACTTAATATCAGCCTTTCTGGATAAACAAAGAAAGTAACAGCAGACAAGTCATCTGAAAACTGAAAGAAAGAAAACTCTCCAAGACAATGGTTTTTAACAAGAGAATGCAAAGTGCCTCAATTAAGACTGTATCACCAATCTGTCAATATATAGACTATAAATTAATAATAATTAGTCCTTTTAGTACTCCTGGAGAAACGACACATAACTACAGCTTCTTTCACAGAATGCAAAAGAGAATTCAGCATCTCAGCTGATTATGTACAGCTGAAGAGCTGCTGTACACAGTTTCACCAATGTACATTTCTGAGGAAAATATAAATGACAACATACTACTTCCATGGGCAAACACATCTTATCAAGCAAATCATACTATACTGATGAGTTACTTCACTGCTTCATTGCAAGTACATGAAGGTCATGTATATACAATCCCATAGGTACTGACAACATCAGAAAAAACACTCCAGATACACAGGCTAATATCAATTAATCTCAAACTGACTAGCACAAATGTCAGAAGATTCTCAAAACTTTTTCCCTGAATGGGAAGGCTCATAAAAAGTTCCTGAACTTTGTGAATATAAAATATGTATTAGGGTTACTCAGCAAAACAGAAAGATAAATTATGGTACAACAAGTTCAGAAAAAAATTTACTGGGCTCAAATAGAAGAGTAAGCCTGTTGTGCTGGTACATGCTTGTAATTCTCTAGTAAGCTGAGGCAGGAGAAGCACAGGTTTCAGCTTAGCATGGGCAACTTAGTCACACTGTGAAACCCAGTCTCAAAAAAAATGTTTTTAAAGGGCTGGGGATGTAGCCCACTGAGAAGGGCATGCATTCAACTTCCCAGTACAGGAGAAAAAAGGGGTCAGAGGGCTGGTTTTGAGAAGCAATAGCTTTGTGGATAAAAGATTTTAAATTCTAAGAACAGCACTCAGAGAGCAGCAGGTATTTCCTAGAAAGGGTCTGGCTTCCTCACACAGAAACCGTATTTATAGAAAAATTTACTATTACCATCCACGCCACATGGCTGGTCAAGATGAGAAAACAATAAAGAATGGTTTGACTCAACTAAGAAGACTGAACTGCCTCACCAAGGTTCTTTAGCAAACATGTTAGAAGCCAAACAATACGAGATACAGCCCTCAGGTGAAAATTCTTCCAGAAAAGAAATCGCTCAAGAGAATAACTTGAAAAACCAGTTCATGCAAGAGCAACACAGGTACTTTACAATTACTCAACAATTGTGAATCCAGTGAAATAAAAATGTGTATCAAAACTACATGGTCTCTTCAAGAGACTTCAGAGACTGACTCTGGTTGGCCAATGGATCTAAAAGCACTGGCTAGATGAAATGTGGATTTTTTTCAAATAAAGTTCTAACTGGAAAAACAATGGGTTAGTGGCATTTATGGGATATTAATTTATATTTTAATAACAAAGAATAACTCAACATGAACTAAATGAAGCTTAGTTATACCAAAGATAGCCATGTCACAGGGAAGAGACGTGAATAATTTAACTGAAAATATCATACTTGACATGCTCCATCTTGCTAGTGTTTTTTTACTAAGAAGTAATGCAGACACACATTTAAGAGGATTAGCTGACCAGAAAACTAATAAGGTCTCCCTACAAACAACAAACTCGGCAAAGATAAGGGAAGAACCCCAGCATGTTATGAATCTGTGTAAGCATGTACACAGAAGCAATGCCTTAAGACAGCTGCTGTGGAGCTGAGATTTTTTTTTGTTCCAGCTGACTACCAACTGAAAATTCCAAAGCCGGTGATATCTGAATCTAAAATAGATTAAACAATTAAGCCAGGTGTGGTGACAAACACCTGCAATCCAAGCTGAGGTAGAAGCAGCACCAGTTTGAGGCCAGGGGTGGGGGGATACAGTAAGACCTTGTCTCATACAAAAACAAATAATTTTAAAAATTTAAAAAAGAAAAAACAAAATAATTACATGCATTAACACATTAACATTTGGTGTTTTAGGTTCTTCCCCCCATCACCACCACCACCTGATATCTTCTGATATCATGTTGCCCTCGTAACTTTGGTCATTAATACTGTTGCAGACAAAATTTACAGCAAGATAAAATGTTCATTATAAGTAGATCAGGTATAGTTCAAAACATAATAAACATAACTATGTTACAGGTTTAACTACAGAAAAGGTGATATTAGAACTAGATTCTGAAGGGTTGAAGCACTGGCCAAGCTGAAAGTGGATTAAGAATGGCACTGACCATGAAGAAGTACATGCCTAGCTCGAGGGTAGAAAATTCTGGGAAATGTGTCACTAGGTAATTTATTGCTGAAGCTTCACAGAAGGTTAACAAACTTTGATGCTACAGGGCATGGTGGCAAATCTATAGCACATGTGCTGCTATCTGATGTCGTTCAGTGTTCTAAAAGGCTCATCACCACTAGGACAGGTAATCACTGTATGTGAAGAAGTCAAAAAACATGATAAGCACACAATATATCAGAATGCTGCTGGCATAAAGCAGCATACTGTTTTATAGTAAAATTTTTCTACGAGTAGGCATACACTCTAAAATAATGATAAAATATCTGGCAAATACATAAAGCAGTAACAATGTTTATTATCATTACTAATTAGCACTGTAGATCATTATATATGCTATACTTTTCTTCAACTGGCATTGCAGTAGGTTTATACCAACGCATGTGCTATAATGTTACAATGACTATAGAAATTTTTCAGATCTAGTTTAATCCTATAGGTCCACCATTGCATATGCCCATGTCTGGTAGAGCTGTATGACTGTACTCAGAACCAAGGCAAGGCAAAGAGGTATGGCAGCAACAAGACAGTGTGTTTTCTGCATATTTAGCTAAGGAATTTGTATGTTACCTATTTAGACAACAGGAACCTACTATATATTTTTCAGCAGGAAAGTGGTAGGAGATGCCTTTTAAAACATACATTCCGTTTTTCTAGAACATGCATGAATAAAGCACAAAAGCATGAAGGCGAGTAACTGTTGGAGCTTGCATTTAAGAAACAGTTATGACAGAGGGCTTAGAAAGGAGAGGGTAAATCTGAGCAACATTTCAAGAGGCCGAATCAACGCATTTTAACACTTAAGCCGAGAGCATCAAGGAAGGGTCTTACATGAAAGACTGACCATGAGAGGTGGCAGAATGCGGAGAACGACATCCAGTTTCATCTCTTTTCTGTCACACGGGCTGCTCTCCAGCCATCCCAAACAACCTGCAATTCTGCTGCCTATCAAGTTTGGTTTTCCTAAACAGCGCTTTCTCTAGGCAGCTTGCCTTGACTACAACCCGAGCAGATGCCCCTATACCCCGCAGCTCACCCCTCATACCAGAAGGGGCCCAGCGCCACGATTTACGCAGCCATCTCTTGCCACTGGCCGCCTCCACGACGGCACCCAACCTCCCCTTCACTATTATCTCCCAGCGTCTGACACCTAGGAAACGTTCCTTAAACGCTGGCTAAGCGTAAGAGATTCAAATCCAGCGATTTCTTAAGGTCTGCTACAGCTGTTTAGGGGCTCCAGGGTCACGGTCGCTACCAAAATATCTTCTATTGGGGAAAAAAATGCTGCCCAGAGTCCCAGAAGGTTGCAGACCCCAAGTGCAGGGCACTCGAGCACCAGTGACACCGAGTTCGACCCTCGCCGCCGAGCTGCAGGGACCAACGCAAAGGCAGAGCCAGTCCGTTCCCAACTTGGTCCCCGCCCCCAGAAAGGCCCTAGCCGGGCGCCCAGAAATGTAGCATCACCTTGACAAGACCTCCAGATCTTCAAGCGCAGACAACAGCCGCTCCCGCGTACTGTTACTGCCTGCTGATGCCGAGCTGCCTCCTAGCCGCTCCTTCTCCTTCTCACCACTCGAAGAAGCCGCCATGCTTCTCAGGGACCAGCAACCGTCGCTCGCGCAGGGCCTGCTGGGATACGGAGAGGCGGGCAGAGAGGTGGAAGACAGAGTCAGCGAGGCGAAGGGAGAGAGAGGCCTGCCCAGCGCGCCCCCTGGATCCTGGAGGCGCACTGCAGGCGCTGGCGCCATCCTCTGGGCCAGTCAAGGGACAATGTGGGAAGGACAGCTGGACGGAGAACAAGTGCAGGGCAGTGGGGTACTTCTGAACCTTCAGATTTTTTTAGGCAACGTCAGAAGGCTTCTAATAAATGCATTCTAAGTATCTGAGAATTATCTAATGAACATCTTTTGCACCAGTTTTGTGGTGAGATCTTTGCAGGTGACAAACCCATGTGGCACACATGCTACAAGGGGCTGGTTGTTATCAATGAAAGCTGTAAACGGTTTGCCATTACTACCTGTATTAACTTCTTTAGTCTGTATCTCCATAATTATCTTCCACCTTACTTACTACAGTAAAACGCTTACTATAGTAAGTGGGAACCAAAAGCCCATTTTCTCCTCAATTCTGTATCGTAGCAAGGTATATATAACATAAACTTTACCGTCTTAACCATTTTAAGTGCAGAGTTCAATGGCATTAAACGTACTCATGCTGGTAAGCAACCATCCATCTCCAAAAACAATTTACATCTTACAGTACTGAAATTGTGTACTCGTGAAGCCCTAACTTCCCATTCCAGACTCCTACAAACTCCCTGGCAACAAACATTTTACTTTCTGCTTCTATGAGTTAGACTAGGTACTTTGTATGAGTGTAATTGTAGAACATTTGTCTTTTTTGTATCTAGCTTGTTTCACTTTCAACAAAGTTCATCTATGTTGCTGCATTTGCCAGAATATCCTTCCTTTTTCAGGCTGAACAACATTCCATTTTACATATATATCCTCTTTAGCTTAGCCATTCAGCTGACAGTGGGCACTTGAGTTGCTTCATAACTCATTTTCATACCTCATCTTTCATATCTCTTACGTTTCACAATGAAATGTGCTTATTGCTGGAGAGGATTGTTGAGCAGAAGGAATCAATACAGAGTGTGAATGGCCCTTAAGAAGCGTAAAGAACTGATGTAGCACACATTCTGTTAGTCAGATTTCTATCGCTATAACAAATTGCCGAGAAAACATTCTAGAGGAAAGGAAGATTAGTTTGGCCTGGCTTCAGAGGTTTCAGCCCATGATTAGTGGGCTCAATGGGGCTGTGATGTGGCAGAAATCCATGACAGAAGGACATGGCAGAGGAAACCAACTCACCTCAGGCAGCCAGGAAGCAGATAGTGCCAGAGAGGAAGGAGCTAAAAAAAAACCACACACTCTTTACAACCAGGCCCTCGGTGACTTGTTTCATCCATTAGCCATATCTCCTAATAAGCTCATTTGCCTATTATATTATGAATAAATTAATCTACTGATGAAGTTAGAGCCTTAATGATTCATCACCTCCAAAACCACCACCAGAGCAAGTGCCTAACACATGAGTTTAGAGAAATGTACCATACCTAAACCATAACACATTCCAAGTCAGAACTAGGTATCAAAGTAAAAAATGCATGTTAGCCCACTATTTCAGGGGAGAACAATGTAGCAGGTATTTTTCCTACCAGGAAAGTTGAGGTTTGCAACCCTGTTTGGAGGGGCTCTGTACTGTGTTATGTTGCTTATACAAACGATTACATGAAGATGCCACCTATGGATACCAGCTAGGAATGGGGCAGTGGTGCCTATTTTCCCTTCATTCCAGGTCTCGTCCTTTCTTCAGTCCTTTGAAGCCTCACTATTTCTAAGCTCCAGAACTGAGAGTTTCCTAAAAGGAAAACTTTTATGTTAAGTGAATTAATGAATGATTATACAGCAAAGCTGTATAATCAGTAATGCCAATTTATTTGCTTAAAATGAAAAGAGATAGCATTAACCACATTTTCCCCCACAGACAAACCTACATGGGAAGCTAATTATTGCTAAAATGTTTGGTAAACTTCAGTTAGAATGAATATAGATATATTTTTTAAAAAGCAACAACTAATGCTACAATCTTGAGGCTAAGTATCTTACAGTGTAATTTACTTTAAAGAGATGGAAATGTTTGTGTTCATAGGTCAAGATGGTTTCTTCCCTACACAATGTAAGAGATCCACTGACACCTCTTGTTTTCTGATCCTTTCCCACATCCGTTCCCTGCTAACTTCTTCATTAATACAGTCAATTCTGAGGCATTGGAATAAATTATATTCAAGCTTTCTTTATTACAATTTTATTCTAAACATGCCTCCCACTACCCTAGATAATAATTCTTGTGTTAAGTTTCCAGTGTACTAAACTCTTGCAGCATGTATTGGTTGTGTTTACTCAAGGTTATCTTAGACCATAATTCTGGTGGAGGGAAAAATCATAGTGTGGCTTCTACAAAAACATTCTAATCAATTAAAATGATCCCTTACAAATTATCGTATGAAACATTTGTATTGCAAACTCCAGACCTCAAATTGATTGCAAATTCATATGCACACTGATGAGTGTCTGTAGACCTATAAGTAATATCATCTCCCACAGATATACTCTCATACAAATTATACAGAGCCTGGTATGATGAACAAAATACAAGTTATCTTATGAAAAATTACTCAGTTCATGAGGGCATTAAGTATTTCCATAATTTATATATTCAGAAAAGATATTACTGACTTTAATAAAACAACAACTAATGCTGCAATCTTGAGGCTAAGTATCTCACAGTTATAGTTATTTATGTCAAAGAGATGGGAATTTTATTTATTTAACATGCCAAGGAGCTGGAGATACAGCTCAATGGTAGAATGCTTTCCTAACATGCCCGAGGTCCTGGGTTCAAACCCCAGTACTGAAAAAAAAAATCAAACTCAAACATTCTAGGAACTGTTTTAAACCCTTGAAACTATTAATTCATTTAATTTTCATTGCACTCTCATGAGGTAAATAGTGTTATTATTCCTATATTAGAATTAATAAAATAGGGGTAAAGAGATTAAACACATGCTAGCATCATGCAGGACAAAGCTGGGATTCAAATTAAGTCTGACTCCAGGGTCTGGGCTCTGTACTGCTGGCTGTCTTGAGTCTTTAAAAAGAAAGTGGTGTCTTCATATATTGAGGAAGAACTGAGGACTCCTGAGCTAAAATACAGACACAAATTCCCCTCTCGGAATTCTGAGTTGAAAACAACCACAAATGCTCCTTGGGGAATTTTATGGGTGCAACAAGAAGCTCAAGCACATCTATCCTTAAGAATCAGTACAGGAGCTGGGGATATAGCTCAGCAGCACGGCGCCTGCCTGGCAAGTGTGAGGTTGTGAGCACCATTCCTGGTACCGAAAGAAAGACAGAAAGGAAGGAAGGAAGGAAGGAAGGAAGGAAGGAAGGAAGGAAGGAAGGAAGGAAGAAAGAAAGAAAGAAAGAAAGAAAGAAAGAAAGAAAGAAAGAAAGAAAGAAAGAAAGAGAAAGAATACAATAAATAGTTATAACCGCTATGTGATTTTGATTGAAACTATTTTTCTTTTTTTTTGTTCCTTCAAGTTATTTTTAATTTTCATTGAGCATCTTATACACATAGTTTAAAAGTCCAATTTTTCAAAGAGCTAGAAAAAAGGATTTTGACTTTTTCACCATAAAAAGATGCACTTTTGACATAAATATTATGCAACCTGATTTAAACATTATACAATATATACCTACGTCAAAATATCACATGTTACCCCATTAATTTGTGTAACATTTTATGTTTCATATATCACTTAAAAATAAATTCAATTTAATTAAAAATAATAAATAATTCTGAACTTTGGGGGAAAAAAGTATGATTATCTTCAAAAACTTGTAACATAACCAAACAAATGTATCTTCCACCACCTCCCATAGCCCTACATCCTAGCAAATCCCTCTTCTTAGACATAGCTAGTCTCAATATTTTTACAATTTCTTTCACTACCATATTTTAGCAATATATACATATTCTATATTTCCATTCAACTTTATATATATATATATATGTATTTTAAATAAATTTTTCTTCCCTTCTATTATGAATAAGCACTTTCTACCACTCATTCCTCTTTCTTCAGTAATTAGGACAAATTTTTGATTAAGTCAATAATCAGTGCTTACATTACTACTCTATTATTTAGATATAGCTAAATAATCAGTATTTGTTTAAGATAAGATATAACAATGTAGATATATTTTGGGGGTAAAAAAGCAGACCAGAACAGAAAATTTCTAAAACATCAGATCATATGACACTCTGTGGAAAATTTCTTGGTTATGTATTTACCTGCACATGCACTGTATGAAGTCAAATTTGAAATGGACTTTTTACTCTGGATGAAAAGTTTGAAAGCTTTAGAGATAGGGCTTTTAAAGAGGTAATTAAGTTAAAGTGAAGGGTGAATCCCTAATTGAAACTGCCTGGTGTCTTTAGATGAGAAAAAAAATAAGAGATGTGTGTGCACAAAGAAGAGACCCTGTGAGGACACAGACAGAGGTGGTCACTTGCAAGCCAAAGAGAGAGGACAGGAGAACCAAAATTCTTCACACTTTGATCTTGGATTTCTGACTTCCAGAACTGTAAGAACATATGTATCCATTGCACACACAATCCAGCCTGTGGGATTTTTGTTAGGACAACCCCCGCAGGTGTATACAGAGGAAGGGCATGTCAGTGGGAATCTAGAGATTTCTGATCGCTCTCTTGCATAGACTTTTTGCCATTCCCACCTCCATCATGATTTGTCTTGGTCCCTTGGCAAGACTACACACTGTGCTGAGGGCAGCTTTGTCTCCTACGTGCCTAATTTAGTGCAGATGAAGATGGCTGGAGAAGTACACACAATCTCCACAGACATGCTTGAAATTCAGATGGACAAATCTAAAGTCTCCAGTAGGCCTTCAGTGCTACTGAGCACTAAGATTGTGTGTCCAAGTAGGGCCCTGCAGGGGTGACGAGGAACCCTTACCAGTGAATTAATGCTGTGATTGCAGCAATG